AATCAAGTCGGCGTTATATTAAAAATTGTCTTTGATCTTTCAAGCTGTTTAACGGCAGTCAGCGGGTGTTGCAGTGCATCAGTCCAAAATAAGTGAAATAAAGCGCATTGCACCAAGCAAAAATCAATCGAAATCATCACAAAAAGTAAAGATCAAGCGCCTAACAAGGTCTCCGCGCGTTAATTCGAATGGTTTGTTTTCCCCCACTGCATAAACGGTTATGACGTTTTTGTGGGCGTTCCCAGCAATGCCGAACAAGTCTATGGTGCAGTGAGTGTTACTACAGTAAATCCATAGTAAATGATGGCGATTTGTAGATTGAAAAGCCTTCTGTCTCGTTGCACACAGTGTTTCTCCTGTTTGTCTTTAAACTAGTTTAACTCACCGAGTCATTTGTGTTCATCGCTGAAGCTCCGGGGGGTGAACAAAGTCCTCCTGTAGCGAATAGATGCGTTTTGTAAGAAAAATATTTAAAATGTAATAATCAATTGAATCTAGCACGATTCCCCACACCAGCGCGGCAAACAGCGGGAACGGGTCTTTCCTGGGCTGCGGGATGAAGCCTTTTTCCACGGCCAGTCGAGACAAAGCAAAGAGAATCCTGGAGAGCAGGTACATGTTTATCTGGGGAACAGACCAAAATTACAGAAATATACCAATACTGGTGAACAGTTGATGATTAAAATGATCATTTATTAATTATAAGGGTCATTCTATTATGCCGATTTCTTATTATTATCAAGGTGTAGAATGTTAATATATAAATATATAACAATTTAAATAAATGCATATGTAAGCATTTCTGTTGTAATTTTGCCCGTGTCTGAAATGAGTCATACTGACATTACCTGAGAACTTAAAGTAAAGTTTACCTATCAGTCAGATGCACGTTAAAGTTGTGTTCCCCACTATAGCAGCAAAACATTCATTATATATATTTATATTTATATTCATTTCATACACACAGCGGTAGTCAAAATTATTAGAACACTTCAGTTAAAAATGGTTTTAATCTTTTGCTGTGGTGTGTCAGTAGGAAATATCAGTTTACATTTACAAACATTAATTTTGCCATTAATTGTAATAATCCAGTGAGATTTATGTCTGACAGCAGCCAGTGCTTCACACAGAGATCTGATCTGATCATCATCAGTCTGTCTGGAATGACATGAAGAAACAGAACAAACTGAGACTCAATCCAGAAGAACTGTGGCAACGTCTCCAAGACGCTTCAAGAAACTCACCTGCAAAGCTCCCTGAGAAACTCTGCTCAAGTGCACCGAGGGCAAAAGCTGCTTTAAACACAAACCCTTCCCATCTTACAGGAAATAATCTGGAGTGCGGCGAGTGACGTGAGGCTCTCCTCTGCGTGATGCAGGGTCAAACTGTAAACTAAAGGAAATCATCCTGTTAATATTCATAACAGCAAAATTACAGATATATAACACAGGGAAAGGGGAGTTATCAATAAAACAGAAATTGTTTTATGCTTTATGTCATATACGTACAAGGAGTACTTGAGTGTGTCATCAAGTTCCATGATCGCAGCCTGGTTACCACATCGGTAGCAATAATTAGGTGCACTGAAGATTGTTACAGCATTACGTTCATGACACCAGTTATAACCCTGTAGAAATGATAAAAAATATATATATTAGCCAATACCCAATCAACGGTCGGTAGGTGTATTATTATCCATGTCTTACAAATTCAAAAACAAAAGTTATTTGAATATTTTTAGAATTTTGGGCAGTTTCAAATTTCTATTACATAGTTTGTTTCAAATATGCAACATTTTTTCATGTTACAGTTTAAATTACTCATGAAACAAACAACATTTACAGTTTTTTACGATTGCTTACACACTAAAATTAAACTTTTCCAACAATTAGCAAAACCTTACACTCAAGGTGTGTAGTGTTTTGACAAACTGGGGCCTGTTTTCAAAATTGTGCTTAAGCAATCGTAAAAAACTGTAACATCTTCAACAAAAATGATATACGATAACATAATTATATACATTTACCTTTCAGATGATTATATTTTTTTGGGACTCTGCCTTGTCTGTTGGTTATTCAATTATTCAACTAAATTGTCAAAATACAATTTTTAACATTAAAGCTGCAAGCAGTGTGTAAATAAATATATATATTTATTGTGTAATTTACAGCCTGTGTGTGAGTGCTCTATATATACACACCGATGCATGATGAATGAGAGATGTTGATGATAGCACTATGAACAGAGTAAAGTTAAGTCTCTCTTAAACTGCTTCTTTGTTATAAGTGAAAGGTAACTAAATGACAGAATTTATTAATTGACATCTCTATAGACTAAATGTCCATTTTTCTTTAGTTATGAAAGTGCCTATTGTAATGTTGTTGGTTTACATAATCAAAACTGTGCAATAATTGCTCTTTTGTCCCCATCAATATCAACATTAAACCTACACCCCTGATATTATCAATGTTGAGAACTTATTGTGAAAACTGTGACACACTGCCATTTGGATAGTTTAAAAGGGAAAGTAAATATAATGTCACAAAATATTTCTATTTAACTTTCCATTCATTAAAGAATCCTGAAAAATAAAATGTATCACAGTTTCCATAAAAATATTCAGCAGCACGACTGTTCTCAACATTGATAATAATCAGAAATGTTTCTCGAGAAGCAAGTCAGCAAATGATAAAATAAAATTTTTGTTATTAATATCTATATCTCTGTCTCATATATTTAAATATTTTTGGTGAGTTTACAGTGTAATACATTTCTCATAATGTAATAATTGTTATTACATTATGAGCTCAAGATTTTATTACATTTTGAGAAAATTATTACATTATGAACATTTTTTTTTACAATAATAATGTAATACTTATTACATGATGTGCAGTTATTACATTATGAGTTGCTACATGGGTACAAAAAATATACAATGCAAAAAAGAAGCACTAGTCATCTCAGATTTTGGACCCCACTGTAAGTGTATACAAATAAACACTATATTAAAAGAAACATGTAAATCATCTTATTTTTTCCACATTAGATTAACCGAATATCAACAAGTAGCAGTAGCTATAACTATTTTATGTGACATGGAGTTTTCTTAGAGTTCAAAGTTCACTTCACCTGCCACTTCTGAACAGAAACGTCATCACTAGGGCGTGTCTAGATAGGATTATTAAAGTCTTAATAAATTAAATCTGAGAAGGAGTTTATGAGGTTTTGCATTCACATCTCCAGCTGTCATTACTGATGTTCAGCACGAGAGGGCGCTGCTGCACGGCTAATGTTTCAGTCACACCGCACTCACTTTACCTCATTTAATCACTTTTAACTTTAGGTCTATGTTTTTAAGCTAACAGAAATATTTAATTGACAATTTAAGTTTGACGTGAATTATGAAATGAATGCATCATTTAATCAAACTAATTGCCATTTGACTTAGACCAGATAAAGTATTTGTGTTTATTGTTTGAATAAGTTTGAATCTATCTGTTTATATATATCTGTATAGAGTGCTGGGCAGTTTCTAGTAACTAGTTACAGTAATATTACTTTATGCAGTATCTAGTAGTGTAACTAAATACTAGTAAGATTTCAGTAATAATATTAAAGTTACTATCCATAAAACATTTAGTTACTTAGTTACTTTTGACGTCTCAACCCCTACTGATTTGAAATCCAACAAACCAATAGTTCCTAGATTTTACTGATTGCAAGTTACATGACAAAAACTGTAGATAGCAACGTAATTTATTACATAACACATTTTAGGTTATGTAATCAGACTACGTTTAGATTACTTTTGATCTCGTTTCTCACATTGATTTAAATAGGATCATCTTGTACCATATTAATATAAAAATGCAAAGAGTTAGAAAATATATTAAATTTGTTGTTATCAACAACATGAAGCATTATTAGCTTCTCTCAAACTGGGTTTATGAAGGAACTGCAGGGGGTTTATGAGTTTAATGAAAAGCTAATAATTAATTAAATCATAAAAAAAAATTTTTTTTTTTAAACGAATAAAATAAAACACTGAAAAAATTTAATATTTTATTTGTTTATCTGCATGTCATGTGACCATAACCAACAGTCAAGAGAACCATGAACATGCAAATATGATACTGCATCATTAAAATATTGATTTTAAAATCTCAGGGGTACTTCAAATAAAAATAAATACATTAGGTGACAGAGGATCAGATGACAAAAAAAGTTAAGGAATCTGTGAATTTGTGCATTTGAATGTGTTTGAAATGGTCAAATGCTGTGCATCCACCTGACTAATGACTGATCTCTGTGTGAATGTCCACAACACTGGAAGACTTTAGTCTTTTAGACTGTATATGCGGTAGGCTATTATAGAAAGGAACATTTAAAAGATGAAAAAGAGAAATTAGAGAGAACCAATGAATTATGAATAAATTATTGCTGTTGTGTGGGCTAAATAATATATAATCATGTAATCCATAAAAACATAACTGTAGTCTTATTACGCGTATTTTAAAATGTAATTTAATCTAATTTATTTATTTTATTTAGTCATTTAGCAGACGCTTTTATCCAAAGCGACTTACAAATGAGGACAATAAAAGCAGTCAAAACTAACAAAAGAGCAACAATATATAAGTGATATATATATATAGTAACTAATTACAAGCACTTAATTTTTGGAATCTGATTAGCCTAAGTAATCCAGATGACACGAAATCAGTAGCTCTGTTAATCAGCGCTGAGCGTTTGTAATGACTTCTGGCTGCCATCAAATGTGGATTTCGGTGAAATGATGAGGCAGAAATATATTGTTAGTAATAACATTTTAGATTTTGTGGGGAAGATACGCAATTACAACTTCTGTGGGGCCTGAAAGAAAAGCAATGCAACTAGAAGTGTAATTAATTACTGTTGAAAGCAACCAGAAAGTAACAAGTAACGTAAAGTAACTAATGAGTATTTGCGCGTGCCCCTTGCGCGCGCACTCATTGCGCGTTCGCGACAGCGGCGTTCACGCGCATTCTCAGTGCGATGGGAGTCCTGTGAGGATGGACACACGGCGAATCCTGCGACTCTTGACCGTTTTATCAGGACTGAACGGAGCGTGTGAAGGTGAGTATGAAGTGTTTGTTCATTCCAGCAGTGTTTTGTTGACGTCCGTGGGTCGGTTTGCTTCGTTTAACGTGTTTTAGTCGCTGAACGTTTGGCGTTTAATACAACAACAACATGGCGCTGGGATTTAACGACTGGCCTCATAAACTCTCTGCCTTTTCACTGGCTTTATCTCTTTCTCTGTCAGAAACGTGAACGTGTGATGTGCTTAAAATTATATTTTATATATGTGCTGTTTAAATAACAATAATAAAGCAGGATGACTCTGTTTATGATAGAAACTCAAAAGGTGAGGGCTAGCATGCTAACAGGCTAACATAGTTAATATGTGGCTGTAGATTCGGATAAAAACTTCAGAAAAACTCAAATGAGCTCGTGTGATCAAATGCAATGTATTTACGTTTATATGAGTCTGAATATGGTTGTTGAACGACGGAGTTAAAAGCGTTCGTACACATAACTTTACACACGAATTGTCATATTTGACATTCAAACGGGTTTAATTCTGTTTAAAAGCTGTTTTTACTGATCCGCTGAACATTTGCTGTATACTTTTCCTTGTCTTTGTGCACGTTTGTAATTTTTTTTTTTTTTTTTCAATTTAGGAAGTAATATGAAACGCTTACAATTTTCATTATCACAGTATCAGTTAGAGTAAACAAATACAGGTAACGTTACAGTAAACAAAAATGGCTTCATTTGGATCCTGGCGGACTGGTTTATTTAAACTTGTTTGTTTGATTTTTTTACAGTAAAAGTAGCTTATATAAACACATCTATGTTGGTTGACCTGTTGCACATTAACAAAGGTGTAAGTTCCTCCAAATGTTTATTATTGTTTGTTTGTTATTAATGATCGGTTTACGTGTTTTATTTAGCTCTCAGTTCACTGTAAGTTCAGTGGAAAATCAAGTAAATGGTTGCTCTCGGTATGAAATGACATGTTAATAACAGGACTGAAGGAAGGTGTGTGGTCTGCAGATTGAAGCTTTCCTTTTGAGTGATGATATGGTTTTGAGTAACAATAACCTATGAGGTTATGATAATTGTTGGGTGTTGTGTGGGTTAAATCTCAGTTCTTTGTGAAGAAGGGACAAAATAAGGACATGACCGAACAGTGACCCCATTTCTTTTATATATGTCTGTCTGACTCTTTCTCTCTGCCGCATATAGAAATACAGCACGTCTTTGTCCATGTCTGGTTAGATATGGGGTCGCCAGGGGGTTTTCTTTATTACTGTTAAGGTTTCTTCTTAACTGTCAGAATATATTACTATTTAGCAGTCTGAAGAATCAATGCTACTACTGCTAATAAATATTAATAAATCTTTATTTTTAAAAGAATAATCACATCTGTTTTATTTTTAATTTTGACAGTAAACCTCTGTTGTGCAGCACTTTGTTTGCCAAAAAATATGATTATAAATTAAATTAATGTTTTATGCCTTCATCTGATTACCAGAAAAATTAAGAACATTTTATAGGGCCCTACTATTGTTTAAAAAGGACCCTATACAAAAAAAAAGAATAGGTTTAAAATACAGGCATGTGGTTCTTAATTTCTTTTTATTAATTCACTATTTGTAAACTGATGTTTACTGTTAATTTTTTAGAAATATCAATAGCATTTGTATTAAAACTATATTCACTGAATGTAATAAAAAAAAATCGAGAATCGAAATCGAATCGAATCAGGATATCTGAATCGATACCCAGCCCTATTTTTAAGTCACATAGCATTATTAGAGTAGGCTATGTTTTACATGAAAATACCATTTCAATCTTTTTGTTTCAAATTTTCACATTTAATTCAATGTGGCATTTGCCATTTCTTTGTAATTAATTGTGAAATTTGCTAGCCATTTCTGAGTGAAAATGGTTTCTAAAGCAAATTTATTTCAGTGTAATATTGCTCACCCAGTTTTGCAACAGCATGGATAACATTAGTAATCCTCAGAAAGCAGATAATGCTTTCCTACCTTGACTTTGCAACAGAGTAAACAGAGATTGTGTATGATATTTAATGAGAGCAGTGAAAAGCTTATCTGAACACAAGACTGAAGCGTGCGAGGGTTACTCTGCTTCAGATACAAGGCATTAATGAGCAAATCTAAAAAATGCAGGGTACAGAATTATTTTTGCCACATCTGGCAATGGCTATGAATTGAATAATGTAAGTATGTATAGTACAATTAGCATTTTATTGAATATGTATTTGAAAAATGTAACTTTGTGGTGTACAGCACAGGTCATCGTGCCACACACAGCATCATATGCAAGATGAACAGTCTGGTCTCATCACTGCACCAAGTGGTTTTGGTTTTGATGAAAATCCCGTGTCTGTCACCACATGGAGTTCTTGAGAAGAAACTCTTATGATGTGTTAGCTAAACTTCTGGGGATCAGTTTTCCAAGTTGTTATTATTGACAGACTCGCAACAACCACTGATGTTTTCATTAGTAGGTGATGATTTGTTGAATCGTTAATGGCACTTACATCAGTGAGGGTTTGGGTCCGGTTGCAACAACCCCCTAAAGCTAAGAAAACCCATAGTTAGGCAATAATTTTAAACCAAAAGTTAATTTTACTTAAAGGGTTTGTTGCATCCAGTTATTTTAATATAATTTTTGTTAATATTTAGAATTAGACTTTTTATTTTTCTGTTTTCTGTTTTTTTTTATTTAATTTTTGTTAGTAATTCTTTTAATAGTTTTAGTAATTTTGTTGCATGTTTTTGTTTGCATGTGCATTTGTTTGCATGTGTTATTTCATATCTATAGTTTTTAATTGTAGTTATACTTCAGCTTGAACTAAACAAAAAAAAAAGAGAGAAATGTTGCCTTGGCAACTAGCTGAAATAAAATAAGTATATATTTGTTTTATTTCAGTTCAGTTAATGTTTATTTTATTACACATAATAAAATGTTTTTAATGGTTTTGCTCCACTATCTGCTGACCATTCTTTTTTTACATAGCATTTTAAACCACACATTGTTGTAGTCCCTATAAAATCACTGGCCAATTGGCAAGTAACAAGTTTTATGTACTCAAACACACTTTTGTCACATGTTGAGGGTTAATTTTGGTCCCTCCGTGTATGTAATGAAGAAATATTTTTTTGTCCTAAAGACACATTTAAATTTTTTTATTTTTAAATGTGTACAGTTCCTACCATCATATTATTGTAATCTTACCAAATGTCTTGTAAAATGCCCTTTGAAAGAGTGAAGTTTTCCAGTGTACCCTCAGTTAATCAGATACATGATTGTGTTAATGATTATTAGCTGTATTTTACACAGAAGTTTACCAGTTTATACATACTCTTCACAGTTGAAAGATTTCAGCTTTCTCCTCAGTGTGTGTTGAATTGAGACTCAGGTGTATAATTTGTCAGATGTTTGCCAAATAAGTGAGTGTTAGTGAGTTCGAAACTGTAATTGGCAGAAGCAGGAAGATGTGGTTTGCGTCTGAAAGTCATTCGAGTTTTAGTGTTATAAAAAGCAAATCTGTCATCATTGAAAGCTCACCGGTGCCAAAGTCACCTGTCGGATGTCAGACTAGTAATTAATTCACATGTGATATTTGTAAACAAAATAATTTTGTATCAGTTTTACAATGAAAATAAGGTTGCTGGTTGTTTTTCTGCAGGATAAAAATAAGCAAAGAATGTCTGTCACTGAACTGAACTGCCAGTCACATTACGATATATCGGCCACTTCCAGTGTAGACAACTTTTTTTCTTTTGAGAAACAAATCATTAGTTTTGCTTTGCATCACTCCAAACTGACTGAGTTGTTATTCTGAAAACATTGCATACAGGACATTATCTGAGCTCGCCAGCCACTGTTATTAGCTGGTTGTAGATTAGCAGATTTAAAGGTGCCAGAGCAGAGCCAGTTTGACTGGTCCAAAACCGCCTTTCTTTGGTGAAAATGTCTGGAACTGGGCTAGATTTTTTTCTATCATAAAAACACTTAGTAAAAGTGATTCTCAGGGAGGTTGCTACAGAGAAAAACACTTTTCTCTCAAAATAACTAGGTAGCATTACTGCATGTCCATTTACTTAAGACCACCTGCATGTTTCACAGCTCTGCTGAGAATGATGTTCTTTAAATAGAAAAGGCAGCACTTCCTGGTTAATCAAACACTGCGTGGCTGCACCAAAATTCCAATAGTAAAATGTGGTAGAAGAGTTTGTTTAGGTCAGCATTACTGTCTCAGGACTTGCACAGCATTGTAAGCATTGTGACCAATTAATTAATTAATTCACAGTTGATCAATTGAAAATGATGCATTGTGCACTGGTGCAACTTATGTACAATATTTTTCCCTCCAGAATATTTTTAGTGGCATAGAAACTGATTTATTGTCAACTGACCAGTTGTACCAGAACTAGGTAGACAACATGTGGCATGTGGCTTTCACTGGAGGTATGAAGGAGGCTTCAGACTACATGTTTGTATCTGTCATACCTTTTTCGTGCTTGTCAGTCATACCGTGAGCTGAAAGGAGCACATTGTGAAATGTTATAGCTGTGTTGTTTAGAGTAAAAGCATGAACTTAGTTTAGATTTTATGCCACGCTAAAACAGTCATATGACAGCATATGATATTGTGATATTGTGAAACAGCATGACTTCTCTTGCTTTACATGGAGGTGCGTGTAGTTTGTTGACGGTGTGAATATTAATAACCACATTGTTGATCTAGAATATTTTTTTTCATCAGTCGTCTGTAACTTTACATGAATGCGATGGATATTCATTCCCTGGTTCCTGCATGTCTAATGTTCTGTCTGGAGCTGTTTTGTGACAGCATTCAGACAGACCTGCGAGTCTCACTGTGTTTTGCACATGTGTGGGTGTTTGCTTTCAATGCAGGGAAATGCCAAATTATTTAATTGCCCTTTGAATAGAAAATGAAGACTTGCGCTATTAAAAGCCCTGTGAGTTTGCATGGGTCTGCACATCAGGATACACAAAGCCTCTATTAGACCCTTT